ATCATCATCAGAATATACTTAGAGTATTAAATGTAAAAGTATTCACTATGCGCAAAAATGTGTGTTTATATTATTATAATTATATTATTGCATTAATATTAACGTGTAAATATAGTATTTGACTCTTTAGCTTATTAAGTTATACGTTAATCTAGTTGCAGAGAGTTAGATGTTAGTTAGATCGGTACACGCTCATTTCTGGAGAGTGGTATAAATCTTCTCATCTAACTCTCGGCAAGAAAGCCAATGAGCATGTGTCCAAAGAGGAACTATTTCTTTGAGCATTAAAACTGGAGATTTTGTTCTGTATAGTTATTTCACCATCTCGTTTTGTCAGGTCGTAGAGCAACAAGCATGATAAAGTGAATTTACAGTGATCGAGACGCTGATGCTGCCTGAAGGTTGAATCTTGATGAGATTTTGTGGTCTGATATGGTCTGAAATCTGCTAAGAAAATCCCCTTGCACCTGTTATGCTATTTCCATGTGTTTCACAGTATGCATGCGCTGCATTTCAGCTTACACTAGTTTCCCATAGAGGTGTCACTTTTGTTAAACAAATGTGATCGTAATTGTGAATTTACTTATTTAGTTTGCCAGCTGTCAGCGTGCCTGCTTTTACATGCATCAAAACCTCACAAGCCCAAATCTATGAGAGAGTCAGGCTTAGGGGAGGAGGCCAGCACACAAAGAACAATGTCTGAAAAGTAGAAGGAGTTGCCATGCTCTTGTCTGTCTGATGTTGCATTCAGGCTAACTTGTCCTCTGAGGAAGTGCGCCGCTGCCCTGCTTGTATGCAGGGGGAGTGTCTGTTTGCACAGGTCTCTGTCAGTTAACACTAATCTGCCTGATCTCCACCTCAAAGTTACTCACTTCTCCACATGCAAATAAACATATTCAGTCCTCTTTCAAACCAAAGCCACTATCAAACACTTGTTTGATCAGCAGAGGGCCTAAGAGGCAGTTCATTATGCATTTGAAGAAAGTGCCCTGCCCCCGCCTTGCAGGGAGAAAACTCATTGTTGCCAGGTTTTCATGTAATTACTCTCACCTTCAGCAGTGGCTGGGAACAACTGCCTCCACAGCAAACTGACGTGTGTCTGTCTGTGAGCTGGTTGCATGGTTTGTTACTGCAGATTGGGCATTTACTGTACTCTTACATTGCCCTAGATTCTTTGCTATAGATCAATTCAGAACATGAAGCCCACCCACACCTCCTTCAACCATAATCCTCAGAACTCGGGGGTTCATGTGCCAGAATACTTTGAGGGATGAAAGGTTTTCATTGCATTCTCTGATAACACTTTGGTCCGTGAAACTTGCAGCTCTTTCTCCTCCTTCAATAACCCTCTTACTCCAAGTTACTTCTTCAGCAGGAAAACAAAGCTGTTCATTTGTGATGATGCGTCAACTATCTTTCTTCTCTGGTGCAGCCAAAGGAGGCAGAACTCACCAAAAGGTGACAAATTTACATTTGCAGCAGCTGTCTAATAAGAGAAACAAGTGCCAAGAATCAGTATGGGCCTGGCGCATTAGGAGCATACATGTTGGAAGGAACCCGCCCACCCTCGAGCACCAGCCAAATTCCTTTGTGTGTTATGTGTTTTGTGTGTGTGCGTCATGTACGAGTCTATGACATTGAGAGGCTAAGCACTGCTCTCCAAACAGACAGGTCTGAACTAGTAAACAGGTGCTGCTGGAGCAGCTGAGGATGAGGACATGGGGCGTCTCCACAGATCAAAGAGGAGCTGCCTCAGCCGCCAATCATCCCAGCGACTTGATTTGTGTCACTGTGTCAGAGAACTTCATGACTGTTTGCACAAGCAGCAGACAAAGTTACGATACACTGGTTCCGAAACAACACCGCCTCGCATACAATAAGATGGCATCGAGAAGAAGGTGAAGTCATTTATTGATACAGAAGCATAGTCTTATGGTTTTGACTGGTGAAGATGTTTCCTTGCCGCTTTACCTCTGAACTGGAATCAGCCTTTGACATGCCTTTGAGTCATTTCAACTTGATGCTTGTAATACTGCTCGGTTCCACAAAGACACTTTACATCAGCTCAATTACAGAGTGTGGAAAGCTGAAAATCCTGGCTCGCTGGCAAGGCAGTCAGTTTAAATTAAATCAAGTAATTATCAAAGGTTTGATGCCGTTTCAACAACACCGAAGCTCCTTTTTGTCAACAAAATCCTAAACCAACGCAGACACGGCGCAGGAGGTGGATGAGTGTGGGGTGACAGCATTCGTCCTGGTGAGTTTGGATATATACTGGTCTGAGATTCATCAGCCTTAGTCACATGGTTGTAGCGGGATTTCCCGCTTTGTCAAATAAAACGTGTCATCGCAAGGCGCAACATTTAACGATCAGCAGCTGCAGACGAGAGATGTTTCATTCTGCTGAGAGATGCTCCTTGAGGACGTGTGATCTACTGTTATAAGATCTATACTTTTAAAGGCCTAAATCTAGCAATACATACAGTTGAGCCACCCCCCACCCCACCCCCCAAAAAAAGCAAAAAACTTTCTTGCCAGCAATACTTTGCCCTTGCTCTGAGCAGTATTCTTTTCCTTTGAAGAGAGGAGAAGAAGAGAAGTGAAGCCTGCTTGGCTGAAGAAGCCCTGGAGGGGGGTGGTAACTGTCATTTATATTTACAGCCTTCCCAGACACCTCGGGGGCTGTTATCCAGGTGGCCTCTGTTGAAGCTCTCTGAAGCACTCACACCTTTTTTGCAACTCAGAGTATCAATAGACACTGGCTGACTTTGATTCAGCCACATAGAGGTTGGGAGTCATGTGCTTTTGACTGTTAAAACGGGTTGGGTTGACGCTGGAACTTGAATGCCCTCGGGGATAAAGCATTACTACACTTCTGAAACTTTATTAAACCGGAGAGGACTCTCTACCACAGGTTTTAAACTCTCAAAGAAAGATTTAAAAGTGAGGCAGATAAAGGTAGAAAAGGTCTTGTACTCCAAAACTACATTCTTTTAACAAATATTTATAAGCACTACTTCATGCATATGTGGTTCTGTTTAACATACATGTAGCCAATGACTTCATGCATCCATGTTCTCCCGTTGCTCTGACAGCACTGTCAAGTTAAAAACAATTGCTGTGGCTTGGAGTCAAGACTAGACTTGTGGCTCTCAGAGCATGTAGCTTTAAGTTGTTGACAGCGTAAGGATCGTTTAACACCAAACACCTCAGGATACCACACAGTGTATTCAGTTTGCTCATGCTTTAGAAAGCCGCTTCAGTCAATATGTAGCTACTTCAAATCCAGGCCAGATGTGTCTATAGAAATGTCACTATGCCCTGCTGATAAGAAGAGCGGAGATGACAGATATTTTGTATTTTGGGTTTGCAGCGATCATCTTTTCAAAGTCCAACCCTTCAAACGATCTAATCCTGTCCTGAATGAGAGCTGGATTATTGTATAACCCCTTCATTGATACGCACCGACACATGCAACACAACGAGAGAAATAGAGAAAGAGAGAGAGACAAAGGCAGAGAGTGGACTAAAATAAAGTTGTATATCCCTTCAACTGAGGTAAAAAACTATACAAAGGGTTATATAAGCATCCAGCATAAAGGATGTAAAGGATATTTAAAACAAAATCACTAACAGGTTATCAAAACCCTCATGTTAACCACAGCATCGCAATGGACATTTTGGGAGAAAAAAAACATGTGAAGATGTTAATTTGTCCTTTGGATGACACCACCACTTTCACTTATTATGCGTATGAATACTGGCTGAAATGTTTATTTATCCTGTAAATGTAATACTGTATCACACTGTTACAATTAGTTTTCTCATCAAACATGTATGTATTCTAATTGCAAAAGCCCATACAAACTCTGTTATAAAGTGTGATTTTACATGAGATTTTATATTAAAAATGAACTCACTAAATCTAAAACTAAATGCATAAGTGACTTTGTTGCCTGAACATAAACAGAAAATGAAAAGCCATGGACAATCCCTTCTTTTTCCCTTTAAGTTGTCTTTGATGCCGCCACCGAGGGACAAACGTTTATGTCCCATTGTTTCCTTATGGATATTTAAAAACAAGAATAGAAATGTCGCTATTAATGCTTCCTGTGTGTGTTGACTTAAGCATCAACATGTCAAACATGGTTACATCCCTTTTTATATGTAAAAGAGCATTTTTTTTTTTTTACATTACAAGAGATATACAGTGTATGTATAATATTTATGAGCTAATCCTAATGGGTCATAAAACCAATCAGTTATTAATATAGTAAAAATGTCTCTTTTGGCCGTGCAAACTATGCTGTTTCAGTCCATTCAATTGAAAGCTATATTGTTTGCCAAATGTATTGTTAGAATCCAGCTCTGACATATCACATTCACAAATGAAGGTGAATGATTTCGATTTTTGTTAAGTGACTCCTACCAACTGAACAGCGTATAGCAAGAACACAAGTGCTGCGACAGTAAGAAAAAACACAAGCGGTCATATGAGAATGAAGACTCACTCCAAGGGGGAATAACACAGTTGCAACACACCATTTCGGCTTAGCAAACATTTAAAACTAGAACGTTTTATTAATTTTTTCTATAAAAGTTTTTTTTAGAAATATATACAAATGTTTCCTTGTGCTATAAAACAGCAAAGAAAAAAAAAAGAGGAAAAATCAACTGCGTGTACAACTTTTCAATAACAAGTGTTTTTTGTAATTTATGGGATGGATTTGCGTCACAAATTGTGGGCAGTTTGGAAGGTCTTGATCTCTTTTCAACAGCTGCTCTCAATCCAGTTCAAACATATATGGCACTGCCTTGATTTCCATTAAAAAGCCTCCAAACACAACACTCATCTCTCTGACCGTTTGCCTCCATTGTCTGTGGGGTCCTTTCATTGTCTGTAATCTATCACTAACAGTACAAGTGTTTGTTTTGTGGAAAACATCTATTGCACATTATTCAAGTGACCCCGTGGCACATCCAAATGGTTTATTCCACTCTTTTTGTGTGAGGCAAAGAGATTTGTTTTTCTCAGTAGGATAAGTGAATACAGGAGTAGCAGATTTTGTTTTTACCCAAACAAAGGCAGATTTTGTTGCATGAGATGGCCCAAGACACGCACACAAAAAAAACATGTCAACGCAGTTTGCATAAATAAAACATGAACCTTTTGTTTGATGGCACTCTGATTACAAAGTCTCATTTAGGTAAGGGCTTTACAAGTATTTTTGGGGTTTATACAAAGAGAGCTCATACACATGTTGGAGGGGGACGTGTAGGCTCATACTTAGTACTGTGCCCTTTGAGAGATGGGTGAGGTTTGATGTAAGGCCTGCTGCTGGTGAAGACACTGGCAGCCTTCCTCCTCGTCCTCTTCTTTAGCTTCCTGCTAAACACGTTCTGCCACGACTGCAGTGTCTTTGAGGTCCAGATCCACATGCCGCTAGTGATGCCCACCACCAGCAGCATGAAGATCTTCACCATGAAGATCTCAACCGTGGGGATGGAAGTCTTCATGGTGCACTCGTCTGACTCCGGCCCGCTGCTGTCCACACACTTCTGCTCCCTGGCCACAATGCGCCAGTAGTCCATGTTGAGCCTCTCGTAGAAATAGCAGGCGATGACGCAGGTGGCCGGGACAGTGTAGAGCACAGAGAAGACCCCGATGCGAACCATCAACTTCTCAAGCTTGTCTGTGTTCTCTCCCTCCGTTTTCATGATCTTACGGATGTGGAAGAGGGCCACAAAGCCAGACAGCAGGAATGAAGTGCCAATAATAAGGTAGCAGGAGAGAGGAATCAGCACAAAGCCTGTGAGAGCTTTGACGTCCATGCTGCCCACGTAGCAGACGCCCGTCAGTTCATCTCCCGCTACCTTCCTCATCACCAGGATCATGATGGTCTTCAAAGCCGGGATGCCCCATGCTGCCAGGTGGAAGTAGCTGCTGTTGGCCTCGATGGCCTCATGACCCCACTTCTTCCCTGCAGCCAGAAACCATGTGAGGGTCAGGATAACCCACCAGAGGGAGCTGGCCATGCCAAAATAATACAGGATGAGGAAGACAATTGTGCAGCCGGTGCTCTCCAGACCCTCCTGGATAATATACTGAACCCCATTGTCTCGGTCACAGGCTATTCTGTCAGCTCCCACAAAAAGTCGGATGAGGTAGCCCACAGAGTAAACACAGTAGGACATAGAGAGGAAGATGATGGGCCTCTCTGGGTATTTGAATCGCTGCGGGTCTATGAGGAAAGTCAGCACGGTGAAGGCGCTGGAGACAAAGCAGAGGATGGACCAGATGGCTATCCACACCAGAGAGAACTGCTTGTCTCCGTGACTCCAGTATACGTCCACTTTGGGGTAGCATTTGGGGGCACAGGACTCACTCTTCTCTACAAAGTGGAACTTGCCAGGATTGCTGCACGTCTGCTTGCTGCCGCTGTCCTTAATAAGGTGCAGGTCGTGCCCGCCCAATGGCCGCTGTGGCCTGAAATCTGGAGGCTGGGTGTGGGAGACTTTGGGAGGCTCATCTGAACCGTTGTTGGGGGCCTCCATGCAAAGGTTGTTTGGGTCGTTTTTGGTTGGCAGCCGGGAGCAGTCCAGAGAGTCAGGCCAGGGAAAGTTAAATTGTTCCAAGATGGGCGAGCATTTCAGCTTGACCTGCTCACACATAACTCTACATGCCGGGATGGGGTTTGAAACCTGCTCCGTGCACATGGGAGCATACAGTGAACACAGGAAAAATTTGAGATGGCTGTGGCATCCAAACTGTATCAGCGTCGCAAACTCCTGCAGCTTTATTGCTGCCTCTTTTTGGTCGTCGTTGCCCATAAGATTTGGCATCACTGTCATGTTGTAGCCAATGTCTTTACACTGGGGGATGTTGATGTGTTGACATTTCCCCTCTCCTGACCAGTCGGGGTCTATTGGGCTAATGGCTGAGCCCCCACCGCCCCAAAGGACCAGTAGCACATAGATGAGGCTCAGTTTAACAGTTGAACGCATTCTCCTTCTTTTGATTTAAAGAAAAAAAAAATAGGCCAAATGTTCACCACTATAACACACCACACAAGTTCATTTCATTAAAAAGTCAGAGATGAAACCTGGCTGGTGTTTGTGTGTCAGATCAATGTGGGGAAAAAAAAAAAACTTACTGAACTATCTGCTGCATGACCATCGTTTCCTCATGTTAGATTTGTAGAGTTTAATAAAATCATAAATCCCGCAGTGGTCCGAAAATGTTTTCTCGCTGGTAGTCGCGTGCGTTCAGGTCCATGCTTTCAAGCGCTCAATTTGTAGTGTCGGAGCTACTTGTTCGGTCTCTTGCACGGAGCATATCGGTCTACTGTTGTGCGTAAAAGTGAACGGTAATGTGTTCCGATTTGTTCCCTACTCGTTCACAAAAGACTCACTCATCCATCCTCACGTATCGTGTCACCTTTCCCGGAGTATTTGTCCGTGTAGCACTGCGATTTCAGTCCTCGTGCAACAACTTGGGAAAACAAAAACGATTTTCCTCTAGTCCTTTATGCGGCGGGGATGGCTGCTCACAAGGCACCGGAAACAATGAACCAGTCGGCAATATAAGTAAGTAAATAAATATCCTCGTTGATAGTAATGACTGTGTCCCTTAAAATGCAGGCGTATGCTCCTCCCGTAAACAGGCAGTTGATGCGTTTGGTGGCAGCGCTCGTCTGAGCTGGTCGGAGCCTCCGTCCCGGTCTAACCTGCCAAAAGATCCGCCTTCAAAGACAGCTACTTTGCATAAGAAAGATGACACTGACACGCGGATTATTTTCAAGTCGTGCGGAACAGCTTGTTCATTACAGCAGTTTCAAAGGCTCGGAGCAAACTTCCCTCTCTCTGTTTGTTTGTGCTCAACCGCAAAGTTCGACTACAACAGGACAGAAACACATTTTATGAGAATCCCAAAATATTGCGCAATATGGCTCATAGGCACACCGGTCCGGAGGCGCATCAAAATCTGAGTTTTGGTTACAACTGATGTTTTAACTGTCAGCACATATGTCACTGCAGGGCAAGTTTATTTTTTACTTAAAAAAAAAAGGTATGATTCCCCTCCATTTAATTGCTTTTTCTTGGTAAATACGTTTCAGAAGGCAGCTCCCCTAAATAACAGGCAAAACAACGACAAACAGAACATATTCCTAGTTTTTACTGCTGCATTCTGCAGTCACACAAGATGTTATCAATATGTTTTACTTTGTATGTTTTGAATCAGTGCAACCTCAGTTTAAGGGTTTCACTTATGCTGAGTGGTCAAAAATAAACATTAGCTAAGGACATGCCTTAAATAATATGAGAATCCAAAGAAAAACACATTTCATATTGTTCTTACTGCACACTAAAACATGCCTGACATGAGTTCAAGTACAAAGTAAAGTCAAATTAAAATATTCATGTAGAGTACAGTATTTGAGTAAATATAGCTACTTTCCATAACTTTCATTGGCAATTTCCTGTAGACTGACATTAATCCCCCATAGGGATTTCATTTAGCAAACATTTAATTTGATGATCAGAGACCAGAGTCTTTAATACGATGCAAGCAAAATGTATGAAAAAATGAAAATGATTACATGCATGAATTAAGTTTTTAGGGTGTGGTTCCCCTTTAAATGATGATATATTTCTGGTATATTTCATGTAATGGTATATTTATACAAACAACACAGGCAGACTGGGTTAGCTATGTTTTATAACTTAATAAAATTGATGTAAATATGTTGTATTCATCAAGGTGAATGTCCAAATAATATTCACACATACCAACAAGAAAACAACAATAGACTTGAATAGTTTAAAACAATAGCTGTATTGTGTTGAGTGTTTGTCTGTATATTGTATGAAAAATTCACTTTGCAATCATTTCCTGTCTTTTTCAATGAAGTAGTAGCAAACAAATGAGGTTATGGTTAAGTTTCTTTTACAAATGTCAGCCTAAGGTGTTGACATACTTCTATTGCGAGGCCTAAAAGAGCTTGCATTAATTATTCAGATACTGCTTTGCCTCTCCCACAGTGACATCTGTATTCTTACCAGATGTGGACAATTCTAGTATTCTCACCATTTTGCCGGGACATCCATTTCTTAAGTTGTGTTACACTTGGAGCCATAAATGAACTGTCACAACAATCTACAGTGTCTTCTGATTTTGAATAAGCTCTGGGTGATATCACAAATACACCAGTACATATTTATTTTTTGAATCCTGGAGTTTAATGCACCTAATGAACAAATCATGGACACCTCTTCATGTGCTCTCTATGAACCCTCTATTATAAACACTGATTCTAATGAGACACTCTCACTACACAGTGAATGTCAACAGACACATTACAGTAATTAGCTGTTTCGTTCTTTACATTTTTCAACAAGCTTTAAATTTAGGTTTTAAATGTTGGTGGGACTGTGCTGTAGAGAATGCTTTTATGTGTGTGATTAACCATATTGTGATGAAACATTCTCATAAATCGCAGAAATATATTTCTAATTAAATATATTACCCAACAACATTCATAAAGCACTGTGGCCAGCTTTGTTCACATGCGGAGAAAAGGACACTAACAAGTTGCCAATGTTGGCTGAATAGAGTTGATTCACTTCAGCTTCCCCTAATAAACCTTTTTTCTTTTGAGATCATTTGTTATGATTGCACATTGAATCAGTGGGGACGGATACAAGTTGTTTTTTTTCTTGCATGTTCACAGAATGTTTTTACTTCATGTGCACTTTCCTCTCACACTGCCAAATGATGAGTAGAATGTGTTACACTTACAGATCCTGCCTCTTGCACGGGATCGGCTCCAGCACCCTGTGACCCTGAACAGGATAAGTGGTTTAGAAAATGAATAGATGGATGGGCTTTTATTGGCCTGTTAAAGCGAAACAATTCCTGGAGAGAGCCGGCCTACATAAGACAAAGCAGCGCCAAAGTCACAGTGTGTCATGAAATAAACCGAACACGGTTAATTTGCCGTTGCAGTGAATCAGAACTCCATCTTGGTTGTACACTGCGTCAGTTTGCTCATGGAGGAGCTTGATGGCGTGACTGCTTGAGAGACCGTTATGAGGCCTTCTGCCTCTTTTATGTATGTGAGATCCTCCAGACCTCACTCACATTACCCTGTAAAAAGTTTGTGGTGGTAAGATTTATCCCCGAGCCTGGCCGTGCTCTTCATCAAGGGTGAAATACTGATCACAAGTAAACAGGAGTGCTTTTAGTACATTTTTTTACAAGAGTCACAAAAGTGCTTTTAGAAGTATTTCAGAAATGTGTCCGGGCAAGATGAGAAACCTGGCACCAGCGTGCCTAAATGGTTTAAGCACAGCATATCTTAGTGGTGGCATTTCAGCTGTTAGCGCTCAGTGTGTGTGGAGCAGAAGGGGCATAAATATAGGGTATGAATACACTTAGGAACACAATACCCTCCTCCTATGCAGCACATGTGCTTCTCAGATTCCACTTATCCAGCTGTTACCGTTTGAAGGGGTTTTAGTCCAAACGAAAAAAAGATCTCATGCTCATCACTTTAAAAAAAAAAAATACATACGCTCATGTTTTCCCAGTTTGTAATCAATGCCTTTATCCGCCACGCTAGTTTGATTTCCTGACAGATTCTATAATTTTAACCCAGCAGTATCATGTGTTGGGTTAAAATGAGTTTGCTGGGAAATTCATAATGATATGTAAATTATTATTAATAATTATTCCTTTGTCAAAAAAGCCCAGATGTAGCAGTAGCATGCATTTTATATATTGTGACCCCTCACAAAGGCAAGGACAACAGCTGACATGCCTGCTCTGTCCCTCTCTCTCCTCTTGGCTTTTATTATATCTGATGTGTAGAAGTAGAACAAAAAGAGATGACAGCTTTAATGTGAAGACGAATAATGTATTATCAATGTGTTCCCAGAGCCAGTTCTGCTCTCCATTTAGTGATCATCCGACTTTCGGGAAACTCTGTTTGGCACATTTTAAAGCAAATATCTGCCCTTATTATCGCTGCCTTTGGTGTAATGAAGCTGACAAGATAATACTGTCACACAGTCTAATAAGAAGACACAGTCTAGTGGTTTGTTGTAATTCATCGCCTTTGTTCTCTGCTCGCTCCTGTCTTTCCTCTTGCCTCCCACTCTTTCGTGATTGTTTTGGTCATGATGATATCTCTTTGAAAATGAGAAGAAAAGAGGGGGAATCAGGCCTGTTCAGTCTTTAGCATCTGTAGCCTCAGCAGCTATTGTCTCTTTTATGATTTCTTCCCTGTCTACCACCCTCTGTTTCATATACAGCCCACTTCTATAGCTCATTCCTACTCACACAAGTGCATAACACACACGCACACACACACGCACACACACACACACACACACACACACTCTCTCTCTCGCTCTCACACACAGTAACTTTATCTCATCTTTGAAACCACAACAGTGTGATGAAGAAAAGCAGCGCAGCTCCATCGCTGATAAATCAGCGACTGTGAGATAATTCTGTAACTAATAAAGTGAAGGGGGGGGGGGTGGGCTTTGATGGCTGAAGCTGAAAAGATATTTTATTTTTTTGTGTGTGGGATTTGCGATGTGTGATTCTATGGAGCGAGCTCGCTCCCCTGCTGCTAGGCTCTGGCTGGAAGCTGGCCCCCCTCTGGCTAATGTTATGGAGAATCGGAGGAATTTTATGGCTGTCTTTTCCCTCAGCCCCCTTTTTTCTTTTGTTACCCTTTGAAGAATGACTTTAGACATTTTATTTACATATTTAACCATGGATGAAAGAAATGAAGGGTGAGGAAGCAAAGCTCCTTGGGTTCTTTAGGGAATTTTGATTAGTAAAGATGAGTTGAAGCTAATACATTTTTGTTTGTGTAGCCTGAAATTAGATGGGAATCAAACACACAACTGTGATGGTGACATTTCTGAGAATCGGCGCCATCAGTTATTTGATGGGAAACATGATCTGCTTACACCAACTCTGTATCAGCAAGAGTAGTCATAGTATTTTCTCTTAATTGCTGTGGTTAGATGACTCGCATGCTGTTCCAACATGTGAGGTATGCTATGAGAGAGATGGGGGACGTTTTAGACATGTTTGGCATTGTTGTCAGCGTTGAAAGGGCATGTTGATTAAACGTACGGGTGGGGTAGGGCTATAATCTTCTTAACCAAGGCCCTCCTCTTCTCTTTCAGAGGGCACAATAAGAAGAAACAACACACTCAGTTGGAGGTGAGACTATTTGTCCACATGCCCTGCACATTGTCCAAGGATCCTGTTCTCCCTCCTGATCGCACGCATTCAGCGTTTAGCTCAGGATGATCCTATTTATCAACATAATCTGCTATTTTCTCTCTTATTGCCACTCCACAATTTGTGAAGAGTTTGGTGCCAAAACCCCCCCAAAAATAAAAAAGGATAGCATCTGAACTTGGACAGTAAAGAACCTTGTGGTGAAATCATTTAAAAAATACTTATATATTAAAGCAAGTCTTTCCTATCCCAGTTTGAAAAATCTTTTTTGCAACTTTTTTGCACAGATAATTCTGTTTAATATCATACATGATATTTTTTTCCGTCCCGTTTGAAATGCTGGAGCTTTAATAAGGGCGCTGATTTTAGTAAAGGGTCAGACGTTTTGAGGAAACGCATATGAATCAAGCAATTAATTATTGAAGAGCTCTGTCAACATCAAAGCCTGCAGTATTCTTTGCTCATCTGGTTTAAATAGTTCAATAAAGTAACTTATTAATGAGGACTAATTTGTTTCACTCTCTTTTTCACTTTGCTCCATCAAAATGCTTTGTTTCACTGCTGTT